TATAGTTAGTTAAATGAAAAAATCTATGTTTTACAGTAACAAAGATTATCTATGAAACCAGATAACATCAGAACTATAATATAAGTAAATTGTAACATTAAGAATGCTATGGAGTAATAAATGTATGATGAATATTAAACAGACATTGTTTTTTAAGTAAACACATGTTATGTACATTCAACTAACAAATCTACAATAAACTATTTAAAAGAAATTTGAAAACAAAGAATTGTAAAGAAGAAAGAAAGATACGATAAAATCACAGCCTCTAAGTCCTTGGATTCATTGTTGGGTTGATCACGGGTCAGTGAGTTCTGACCAGAAAGAAAAAATGGAATCTATATTCATAACATCACAATGCAGCCAGCAAATCTCGGGACAATAATGCTCTGTTTGCAGCCCATGAATGTGTATAGCCACTTTACACATCGCGAGCGTTGTACTGTCTTGTGCTAAGTCTGTTATTCCGGTTTTGACCTTATACCCGGTGCCCACTGGCGTCATCGGTTCGGTTCTGTTCGCTTTTGTCGGTTTGGGGGTAGCCTGATTGTCCTCTACAGGAGGGGCATATCCGACAAAACCGATGATGACCTTCAATAACAAAGGCGTTTGTTTTCAAGGCCGTGCGTCGGGCGATCGGCTTGGGCAGTTGGTCTATTTATAGTGTGCACTTAAGCCGCCGAAACCGAACCGGACCGGACCGAACCGATCCTCTAATGGGCACTGGATATATAAATCTACATACACATCACACTACAGTCCCGAAAACAAGAGTTCGTACAAAACGAAATCCAACAGAGTACGAACATAATCGTAATAACTTTTGGATTTTGGGCCCAAAGGAAACATTTTAAACAGCTCGATAGCTTTTAAAAAACTATATAAATGGATACATTAGATTTAGTACAAGACAGAACTTAGCTCACTGTACGGGCAGAAGAAAGGGTGGGGCGGAAGGGGGGGGGGGTATCAGTGGCACTTTGGGGGGGGGGGGGTGATTTGAACCAGCAAGATGAAGAGGGATTGGATCAGAAAGCCTGGAGTGTACCTTTTGAGTCAGTGAGTTGTGTAGCATTCTAGTCCCGGCCAGATTAATTCTGTTATAGAAATGTAGTCTTGTAAGCCGTGGCAACAAAACGGCAGTCTAATAGTCCGTACTTGTCATCGTCAACTTGAACCTTTGTCTAACTGAACCAAATAGGGGGAGGGAGAGGGAGGGGGGGGGCGAAAGACCAGGATACCATAATGGTAGGTCTATTGCCCTTTATTTCGGCCACGTACATGCCGTAAGTCAAATTTTGAGGTCACCTGCTATTTGTGGGAGACTTTGGAAGCCTGTCTCCCTTAGCGACGTGGGGCGTGTATAGTGTGGGGACAAGAATGCACACTTTAACGAAGATCTGAGATTTTGTTATTTCTGTTGTTCCCTTTTGTTTTGTTCTTTTGTGTGTCTTGGAATTCTGTTAATTCTGCTAATTCTTCTCTTTTACTTGTTCCAATTTTCCAAGACGGTCTAGCCTGAGGGAAAAACCGACTTAGAAGGCGATGGAATCTAATCGCTTTATATCGAAGGTGCCGCAAGCAATTCACTTAAGTCTGTTGGGTAGTTTTTACCCCAGAGACACAACCAACCCCAACTAGTTTTTGTTGTGTTGTTACTATCAGGAATCATTTAAAGTAAGAAAAACGTAAGCCTTGACCATAGCATTAAACTGCATTTTGTTGATAATGAAAGGTGCATCATAGACAGAGCTTTGGGAGGATGTAGAAATCGAAAATTCTCAAATCTGAACTTAAGTTGATTATTTGCGACAGCCACGATATGTACATAATATGTAAATGATTATGCTTCCAACTCACAGGCACAACGGGGAGTCTTGAAGTACGTTAGTCCGACAGACACGGGTTGGTACGTTTTGGGGGTTTGGTGAGTCGATAAATCTATGGACTGTGCATTTGGTGAGTGACGAGGCCTATACAAGAAGGAGTTGCAAAAGTAGGGAAAATATGGGAAGGGGGAGTGGGGTGGGGAGAGGTTAAAAACTACTTGTGACGAAGTTGGTGGTGGGATTTAAGAAAAGGAAACATTTTCCGTGCAATCATTTCCTCAAGGCAATTGGTCCTTGCATATAAAAAACTAGAGGTTAATTTACACTCCTATGAAGCTCATGTATAGAAACACTATAATCCTAAACTATACACATACAATTATAATATACGATATGAGCTCGTTCTCTCTCTCTCTCTCTCTCTCTCTC